ACCAGTGCTGGTGTGTGCGTGCACCTGAAGAATTTAACCTTAAAGTAACCCTTGCAATGCAAAATCTAGGGCCACTTTGGGAGAGATGGAGGGTTAGGAGCACAGACCTACCTACCAGGCTTAGGGACAGAGGAAGCGCTGCACCCCACTTGATATAGTGTGCTGCTCAAAGCTCCATTGTTTAAATATATTTGTTTCTTCAATCTGCCTGAAGACGAGTTGCGTTCAGAATTAGATTTTCTCCATTTCGTTAGGATATACTCCTCAGGAGGTACCTATTTGAATGTTACTGCTTTGCTTTGAAGGAAAAGACATAATTTCATTGCAAACATCACTTTTCTTTTTAATCGAAGAGAAAATTTCAGACTAAAACGATGAGTATGTATGAGTTGCAAGTAGGGGACTAGGGAAGAATAGAGATTAGTGCTGTGCCTGGAGAGGGTTCAATCAATGAGAGATAGTCAATTTTAGGGTAACTGTTCCACAGGGACAAAGAAAGTTACTGAATTCCTGACAGGAAGTGAATGATAAAATAGAGAATGGAGGGAAATATAAGTACTTGTAGATCACACAAATTCACTCAGATAAAGTCCTACTTCAAGGATCCCTTGAAGAAATATTAGTAAAAATGGAAACATTTTTAATTGAAATTAACAGAAGAAGAAGTATATTACCTGAGTTGACCAGATGAGTGAACTATACCTTTAGACTCTAAAGTTTAGAGTAGCGAGAGTGTCCTCAGGCACCAGTGAAACCGACGTCAGAAATGTTTTATCAAACCTCATAATGGAAATAAGAGTTAACAGAAAGGAGGCATCCAGTAGAATTAGGGGTATTTGGAGAAGGCATTCTACGAAAAGTTAGTGCTTGAAAGATTGCTAAGGTTTGGATTCGGATAATTCCGGATGAAGAATTTCAAGGCTTTTAGCATGGTATGTCTTAAAGTGTTGGGCCAGAGTGAGCTTGTAATATTTCTTCCCTTACACCCCCAGCGACATTTACTGAGAACCTACTTTGTGCACAGTGCTATTAGAAGCTAAGGGATAACACAGATAAGACCCTTTTAAAAGAGTTTGTAATCAAGTGAGGGGGATAGATAGGAAGGAAAAAGGAATAATAAATAATTCTGATTTACAGTGTACGATGGCATATAACAGAAATGGTTATAAGAGTGCATAGGACTTCCATATATATCAATTAATTCTGGCTATCAAGATACTTTTTAACTTCATACACAATGATTGAGTTTGAATTTTTGGTCATTGAAAAGAGGTCACTTTTTAGAAAAATAAACTATGATCTGAACAATTTCTCTTTCATTCTAATCTGTATGTCTTCCCTTACATTATTTCATTAATTCAAACAATGTACTCATTGCCCACTCTCATTTTTTTGACAGTTTTCTTTCCTTCCCTTTCTTAATGTGAGATCAGAAAAATAAATGAAATAACAGAAAACATGAAGTCTGGCTTGACCTGCTCTGTGCTGAGCCTAGCAGAAGAGAACTTCCTCAAATTCCCTTTCTTCCATCTCTACACCACCGTATCTTCTTGCGTCTTCCTCTCACTCCTGCTGGGTTCAGAGGAAGATGATTCCTACTCTTTCATAGCCAATAACTCTACGTAAACTCTTGCTTATTCATCATGAACACTTAGTTCAGTTCAACAGCAAACACATACTGGGAGCTCAGGATGTACCAAGCATTTCGTCAGCCACTAAGAATATGAAGCAAGTCAAATAACAGACCAGTAAAGGAGTCAGAAGAAGCCTGGTTGCACAGTGGTTAAGCTCTTGGCTGCTGACCGAAAGTTTCGTGGTTTGAAGCCACCAGCCGCTTTGTGGGAAAAGGATGTGGCAATCTGCTTCTGTAAAGATTACAGCCTTGAAAACCCTATAGGGCAGTTCTACTCTGTCCTATAGGGTCACTATAAGTTGGAACCCACTTGATGGCAACGGGTTTGGTGTTTGATAAAGGAGTCAGACAAAAAGAAAGAAATATGAGTTGTGATGTGTATAAGGATCAACTAAGATAAGACAGAATAGTGCAAAGAGTGGCAGATTCTGGGTCTGGGTGTGACATGAATGTGTCTGTGGGTGTGCCAAGAGGAGTTAGTTTCAAGGAATTTGGACAAAGTAGATGGATTATAACTGTGTAAAGTTTTGATGGGTGGATGTGAGTTCACAAAGACGAAAAGTGGGAAAAGTATACTCTTAGCATAAATAACATGAGCAAAATGTGGAATAATAACACAATACAGTTTTGTTGGTCAACTATAAGAAAATTCGTGTGCTGGAGCCTTGAGTATGAGGCTGGGTGCAATGAAAGATGAAGCTAGAGGGATCAGCAGGGGTCAGGTCATGAAAATCTTGAATTCCATGCAAAGGATAAAGAAGTTAGGCATTTAAAATATTTTATGACTAAAAAAATAATTAATTCTCATCTCTTCTAATTTAAATTCAGCGAAGTTCTCTCCCTTCTTTAGTGCATGTTTAGTACAATTGACTCCCTTTCTGCAGTCTATAGTATTCATTTACCCCAATCTAATAATGACAGCTTCCTACACTTTAATATAGTTATTTTTAACTCATTCACTTCAACGAAAATATATCGAACATCTGTCATAATTGGGCACTGCCCTAAAATAATGAGCAATATAAGATAGAAACTCTGTTTCTCCCTCAATTTCCAGCCATATCTTATAACAACAACAAAAAAGTTCTTTGAAGAATGGTCTGCTTTTGTTTGTTATTTCCTCACCTTCAATAGCGATCTGGATTCTTTTTCTAATAACTCTCAGAAACTTCTCCAATTTATGTCCCTAATGACTTACTAAATGCCAAGGCCAAAGGTAGTTTTCAGACTTTGTTTTCTCTCTCTCATCTGAAATTTTGGAAACCCTGGTGGCAGAGTGGTGAAGAGCTACAGCTGCTAACCAAAAGGTCAGAAGTGTGAATCCACCAGGAGCTCCTTGGAAATCCTATGGGGCATTTCTACTCTGTCCTATAGGGTCGCTTTCAGTCGGAATCGACTCGACGGCAACGGGTTTGGTTTTTTTGGTTTCTGAAATTTTGGCATTGTTGACCACCTCCTCCTTGAAACTTTCTCCCTCCTTGAAGCTTTCTCTTTTGTTAGCTTCAAAGATTGTTGCTCTGTTTTTTGTTTTTTTTTTATCAAATTATGTTTTTGCTTTCTGCCTTTTAATTTGTGTCATTGTGTAGTATTCTGCTCTTACCTTTCTTCTTTTCTTGCTTTCCACAAGAAAAGATATCATAGTTATTCCCATGGCTTTAAATAGCACTTACATCCAGAGGATTCACAAATCTACAGTCTAAGTATGATCTCTCTTGAGTTCCGTTTTTCAAAAGTTTAGCAGAATCTCTAAAAGCTATGGAAAAAGATTCTGGACTTAAACTGGAAGGCAAAATGAATAATGAAAGGCGAGTTAAACAATCAAATTTTCAATTTAGAAAGATAACTGGTAATAGTTTGGAGAACAAATCAGCGCTCTGTGCTTGAAGCTGGTGAAATAAAGGTGAAGAAAATACTTTATCTACCCTGTGGGGTATCTCCACCCACAAACCTTCAGCCACCTAAGCCACAGTAAGAACCAAACAGAATTTATTCCCTTCCCCATCCCAAATCTGGCCCTTCCTCCTACATTTCATTTATCAGTAAATGATATCAAATGCTAGCAAAGCCTCTAATTAGAATTACCTCCCCAAACACACTCTCCTCCCTCTCCCTCCTCCCCTACATATAAATATTCATTGCATTCCTACTGATTCTACTTCTGAAATGTCAAAAACTGTAGCCTCAGAAGATCTACGTACGAAGGCTAAGTAATAGCAATCTGGTTGGAAGTGGATACTTGATGCTGCATTTCACTGAACTTTTCTTATGCTGAAAAAACTTAATTGTTCATATCTAAGAGTAAAGTGGGGATATTGGATATTATTAGGGAGAGGCACTAACATTTTCCCGAACTACTCTTTTGTACTGCCTCGAATCTGTCCCATTCATTTCTCTAACTCAGACACAGTCTTCATTAGCTCTTGAGTAAAGTAAACTATAGTCTCTCATCTAATTGTCCTGTCCACTCTGACCAAAATGATTCTCTTCTTTCATTGTACTGTTATGAGCTGTAGCCTGTAGCTATGTCTTCAGCTGATGAATGAGACGCTATAGCATCATCTATATTCTCTCAGCCATTCTCAATGGCATGGCTATAGTGTGTGACTGACCTAGGTTCAGATCCTTGCTCAGACACTAACTAGTTCTGAGACCTTGCATAGTGATAATAATACTAAATACTACTAATAACAATAGTCATCATTTATTGGACACTTGCTCTGTGAATGTTACTGTGCTAAGTCCTTTATAAGCATTCTGTCTTTTAATTCTTACTACAGTGCCATGTAGCACATATTATTAGCTTCACTTTTCACGTAAAGACAGTGAATGTCAGAGAAGTTAAGAAATATATTCAAGATTGCACACAACTAGTGAATGTTAGAGCTAGGATTCTAAATTTAGATTCCAATGTTCATGTTCTCAAAATGATTGTTTTACTGAGATCTGTAAGTAATATAAACTTTCTTTACTCCAGTTTCCTCATCTGTAAGATACGATATGCACTGGACCTAACGTAGTGCCTGGCATGTAGTAGGTGTTCAAAATTGGGTTTAGAGATGAGGTTTTCCCATCCTCTTTGGTTTTCTCAGGCACCAAACAACTGACCATGAAAAACATATCAGCACATTGATTAAGGAGCCACAGGGTATCCAACCCCCAAGAGGCAGAACAAAATGACTTTTCTCTACATATTTCCTGGGAAGAACAAATGATACCATCTCAGAACAAATTACACTGTCTTCCTCATCCCACCATCCCACTGTCTAATCTAATTCTGCACACTGTGAGGAAATTCTTCTGTAGGGATAAAAAAGTTCAGCTCATCTAGAGTCGCGTGCTTTCATTGAACAAAAGCAGTTTTACTTACAGAGCCCACACAGCAGTCCTGCCTGTCCCTGTCAGGCTGACTCAGAAGGCTGAAGAGACACTGGATTCCAGAGGAGTGTTAAGCTTATAAGGAGACTTATTCCAGCCTGATTGGAGACAAGCACAGCACTGAAAAGCCAGTTCCTGGTGGTGGTGCTAACTCACAGTGTCTCCAGGGTGTGGAGGTTCCCAGAAGACTTTTTCTGCCTTGAAGAGTCTTTTTCATATTTTTCATTATGTAATTACTTATAGTGGCCATGTGCTGTATAGGTGGATGTCCTTATGTCTTAATGTAATTTTGCTGAAGAGTTTTTTTTTTTAATAGCTTTATTGAGATATTATTAACATACATAAATTCACTCATATAAAGTGTACAATTCACTGGTTTTTAATAAAATCACAAAGTTGTGCAACCATCACCACAATCTAATTTTAGAAATTCTTCATCACACCCAGAAGAAACTCCATACCCATTACCAGTCACTCTGAAGGTTTTATTTTTAAAGGAAAAGTTATACTAAAAAATTGCTAAAAGGTATCCCGTATTATGACTGTGAGTCACTCTCCAACCCATATCTCCTCAGCGTCTATCATTAGTCACAGCAGTACTATCTCATTAGCCTACCTGTGCTTTTTAGTAGTCTCTCTCTTATACCTAGGAAAATAATTCACTTATTCACCCATACATATATTTAGCAAATGTTTCATAAGAGCCTCCTGTATTTCAAACATCATAATAAAAGCTGAAGATTTAAAAAAAATGAACAGAACATAGTTATTACTACCCACTACCACCCATCTGTCAGTTTGTCGTACTGTGGTGGTTTGCCCGTTGCTATGATGCTGGAAGCTATGCCACCAGTATTCAAATGTCAGCAGGGTCACCCATAGTGAACGGGTTTTAGAAAAGCTTCCAGATTAAGACAGACTAGGGAGAAAGGCCTGGCCACCAACTTCTGAAAATTAGCCCGTGAAAATCTTATGGATCACAACAGAATATTGTCCAACTCACTTGCTTTAAATGCAGCCTCAGGAAGGATCAACTAACTGCTAGAAGACATCATGTTTGGTGAAGTAGAGGGCCACCGAGGGTGTAGGAGACCCTTGGTGAGATGGATTGGCACAATAACGACAAGGAGGGACCTAGACATGCTGGTGACTGTGAGGATGACACAGGACTGGGCTACATTTCATTCATAGCAACTCAGTGCACAACTGAAATAAATGCTGCCTGATTTCTATGCTATTCCCAAGATTGGTTGGGAATTGGAGTGTTGTAATCCATAGGGTTTTCATTGGCTGATTTTCGGAAGTAGATCATCAGGCCTTCCTCCCTAATTTATCTTATTTGAGGAGTTCCGCTGAAACCTGTTAAGCATCATAGAAACATGCAAGCCTCCACTGACAGATGGGTGGTGTCTGCACATGAGGTGCATTGGCCAGGAATAAAACCAGGGTCTCCTGCATGGAAGGCGAGAATTCTACCAATGCCTCACACACACTGGTACACAGACCTTAAAAGCATGGTTTGTCTCACTGCTGTACTATTGCTCCAGCCTTGCAGAACAGTAGCTGGTAATTTGATTCAACCTTTTGGAAGTCTTAGCACAATATCCTTCAATAAAAATCATATACTATAAGAATATACAGTTATTAATGTGTCAATATTAATACCATTGAACTTAGAAAACATACCACAGTCTGTAACATCACTGGACTTCATATTAATGTTTCTAAAACTTGGTAATCCAAACAGAAAGGACAGAATTGGAAATAAGAAAACTATGCCGTAGGGACTTGCAATAAATATTATTTATTGAGTGCTGACATTTATTTAGATGTTATGAAAGTAAAGAGTAAAATATTTGTGCTTAGCAAGTCATAAAAGATTTTGTTTTTAATTTATAATACAAAGTCTCAAGCTGCTGTGTTATGATGGACTAAGCACTCTTTTATACTGTTTATATGAACTTTCAGGAAGTCAATTTATCTGTAGATTATTTATTGCCTATTATGTCCATAATATTTCATTTCCAGAAGTTTATCCAAAAGAAAAATATCAGAGATGCAGGCCACATTCTATGTACAGGAACATTCATTGCATTATCATTTACAGTAATAAAAAATTGTAGGTAGGTAAGATTTCAATGATTCAGAATAAAGTATTTAATATCCAATCATGGGATATTATGCAACTCTAAAAATTTTTGCATGTAGCAGAGGATGTCAATTGTCATGCTGGACCAGGAGATGGGAAAGTAGGCTTCAGGGCTGAGAGTCTTACAAGGCAGCAAACAGTCCAGGTTCTGAAAGAAACAGAAGGTCTGAGATAGGAGCAAGAGGTCAGAGGCAAATCAGGTAATGTAGGATTAATATCCCCAACTTGGCTGAAATAAAAGCAAGTAAACAGAAACAACAACAACACCAGACTGGTTTCTGCAACAAAGATTGTTCTGTTTGGGCCACTGCTTACAAAAATTAATAAGGTCATACAACTCCTACTGGGCCACCACCATCTAGAGAAAGCCTCATTCACTTCTTTTCCTGGCTTTAGCTAGGCTGAATTATTAGCAGTTCTCCAAAAGTTTGGCAGTTTGAACTCACCAGCCGCTCTGCAGGACAAAGATTTGGCAGTCTGCTTCCATAAAGATTACAGCCTTGGAAACCTCATGGGGCAGTTCTACTCTGCCCTATGGGGTTGCCATGATGACAGCAGTGGGTTTAATGGATAGTTCGTGGTTACTTAGTTAGCCCAAGGTCACACAAATAGTAAATGACTGAGCTGAGCTTTAGATCTAGGCTGTCTGGTTCCAAATACTTTGAGGTTAGCCAATGCTATGTTGACTTTCAATGTATAAATGGATGGCGGCAGATATTAAAAATATTTAAGTCCTAGAACAGGTCAATTAGAATAGACACTTGACATCAATCCAGAATTGATGTTCAGAATAGAATAGACATCAATCCAGAACTGGTGCTGATTATTATGCCCTGTCTGTGTGTACTCACTGGTTATGTGGCCTGGGATAATGAATGGTTTAAATCTCTTGGGTTTGGATAGTAGTTGTTAGGTGCCGTCGAGTTGGTTCCAACTCATAGCAACCCTATGTACAACAGAACGAAACACTGTCCGGTTCTGCCCCATTCTCATGATCTTTATTATGCTTAAACCCTTTGTTGCAGCCACTGTGTCAATCCGTCTCATTGAGAATCTTCCTCTTTTTCGCTGACCCTCTACTTTACCGAGTATGATGTCCTTCTCCAGGGACTGGTCCCTCCTAATAACATGTCTGAGGTATGTGAGACAAAGTCTCCCCATCCTCACTTTTAAGGAACATTCTGGCTAGACTTCTTCCAAGACAGATTTGTTCGTTCTTTTGGCAGTCCATGGTATATTCAACATTCTTTGCCAACACAGTGACTCAGAGTTGTCAATTCTTCTTCAGTCTTCCTTACTCATTGCCCAGCTTTCATATGCATATGAGGCGATTGGGTTTTGGCTGGAAAAACAAAACAAAACAAAACCTATGTTTCTGTTAACAGTAGACCATCTCCTGCACTCCCACTCATGGACCAGTGTTCTTCAGATTGGACCCCTGAGCATGGCCAGCAAGGTTCTCACATTTATATCCCAGATTAGATGCAACAGCCTGGGCATCATTTTTTTGCTTTGTATCTTGGAAGATGATCCAACAGAATGTGGAAATTATCAAACAATATCATTGATATCACACACAAGTAAAATTTTGCAGACGATCATTCAAAACCAGTTGCAGCAGTACTTTGACAGGGACTGCCAGAAGTTCAAGCCAGATTCATAAGAGGATGTGGAAAGAGGGATATCATTGCTGATGTCAGATGGATCTTGGCTGCAAACACAGAATACCAGAAAGATGTTTACCTGTGTTTATTGACTACGCAAGGGCATTCGACTGTGTGGATCATAACAAATTATTGATAGCATTGCAAAGAATAAGAATTCCAGGACACTTAATTGTGCTCATAAGGAACCTGTACATAGACTAACCTGTACATTGAACAGAGCAAAGGGATACTGCGTAGTTTAAAGTCAGGAAAGGTGTGCGTCAGAGTTGTATCCTTTCACTGTATTTATTCAATCTGCATGCTGAGCAAATAATCTGGGAAGTTGGATTATATGAAGAAGAAGGTGGTATCAGGATTGGAGAAAGACTCATTAACAACTGAGATATGCAGATGACAACCTTGCTTGCTGAAAGTGAGGAGGACTTGAAGCACTTACTGAGGAAGATATAAGACCACACCCTTCAGTATGGATTGCACCTCAACATAAAGAAAACAAAAATCCTCACAACTGGACCAATAAGCAACATCATGATAAATGGAGAAAAGACTGAAGTTGTCAAGGATTTCATCTTACTTGGATCCATAATCAACACCCATGGAAGGAGCAGTCAAGAAATCAAAAGACACATTATACTGGGCAAATCCGCTGCAAAAGAACTCTTTAAAGTATTGAAAAGCAAAGATGTCACTTCGCGCCTGACCCAAGTCATAGTGTTTTCCATCACCTCATGTGCATGTGCAAGCTGGACAATGAATAATGAAGACCAAAGAAGAATTGATGTACTTGAATTATGGAGTTTGGGAAGAATATTGAATATTCCATGAACTTCCAGAAGAACAAACAAATTTGTCTTAGAAGAAGTACAGCCAGAATGCTCCTTAGAAGCAAGGATGGCAAGACTTCTTCTGAGGTACTTTGGACATGTTATCAGGAGGGACTAGTCCCTGGGGAAGGACGTCATGCTTGGTAAATAAAGTAGAGGGTCGATGAAAAAGAGGAAGACCCTCAAGGAGATGGATTGACACAGTGGCTGCAACAATCGGCTCAAGCATAACAAGGATTGTGAGGATGGCGCTGGACTGGACAGTGTTTCATTCTGTTGTACATAGGGTTGCTATGAGTGGGAACTGACTCAATGGCACCTAACAACAATGACATCTGTCAAACACGGTTAATGTATCTACCACAGTAGTAAATACACTGTTACCAGTTTTAGACTGGTATCTCAGCAGCCTAGCACCTTTTAGATAGCAAGAGACTTACAAGGTTTTGTAGTTTTCTTTAATCACTACCTTGTACCCGGTCATTTGTTGTGCCTATGCACAAGTTAGACCAGCTCTCAAGATCCTCAGAATACGCAAGAGAAGACCTTGAACTCTGAATCAGATAGTCACTACACTAGCTTCAGTGCATACAGTTACTTCTGTACCTGGGTTCTATGCCTTATGATTGCTGAGACTGGTAAGCTAACTCCTGGGTGATGCATGAACCCAGCTTCTCCCTTACTCTCACCCTATGAAAGTCTTACTGGAAAGTTAAGAGCTTGGATTCACAGTTGTTCAGGGGTGAAACTGTTCAAGTGAAAATTGGAACTGACCTTCATCTCTAGGCTTCTCGTTTGGAGAAGTGTGTAGGTGGATTGAAAAGAGATTGCCCTATAGAGTCTGAGGTTTGGGGCACAAAGGGTTAGCAGGACACAGCTGTTCAGAGATTTCCCTTAGGAATTTGCTTTTCTGCTAGATAAATGGCTCTCACCAGGCAGCCTCTGGATTCCTTATAAAGGCTGCTTTCTCAAATCTGACAGCTCTCCCAATTCCTGAGTTCTCGCCCTATTTGTTCTCCTGGCAAAGAAAATCTCTTTGGACATAGCTTCAGAGGGCAGGACTGATCAGGGGCTGTTATCCCAGCTATAGGAGAGAGGGACCTTTTTGCTGTAAGTTTGTGAGGTGGAAGTTATATCTGTCTCCTTCTCCTTTCTATCTTTCTCTTTTTCATTCCCTTTCTCTCCTTCTCTTTCTTTTTCTAAATGGCTATAAAAGACTCTGCTGAGATGACCCCTCACAGAGCAGGGAACAGGATCAAATGACCTCCCTTTCTTGACCAAGAATTCTTCTGTGCATGAGGTCAGTGTTGTAGTGCATTGCAGACTTTTAAAAATACATCAGGCCCTGTATAATCTTCAGAATGGGTTATAAAGACCAAGCAGAACAGTTAAGAGGCAATTTCTGAGCATGAACTCGGTGTTATGCAGTCAACAGATCCATGCATTATGTCAATTAAAAAAAACAATTGGTCTAATGTTCTAAGTAGTTATTACATATATGGAATATAGTCACGAGCCTGTGTTTGTTCAATCTACAATTTTTTAAAAAACAAGTTCTCTCCAAATAAGGAGTGGCAAGAGCATGGCATTTGGGCTATGTATGTCTTGGCAATTTTCTCAGTAAGGGAGAAAGATAAGTTTAAATATATTTTTTCCAGAATTGTAATTTCATACTTTCTCATCAGTTTTTGTACAGGAAACTCAAAGGTGGTTAAAGAATCAGAGAATTAAAAAAAAAAAATTTTTTTCTTCCAAGATTTGGTAATACAGTTTCCTGTATTTGAAGAGTCTAATATGTTTACCTTTGATTATAGGAATTGAAAACAGAGACCATGAGAAGCACGTAAAGCAGTAGAAAGGTGGACTCAGACAAAAAGATAAAGTGAAATAAAGTGTTTGGAACATAAACCATTGCCGTCGAGTCGATTCCAACTCATAGCGACCCTATAGGCAGAGTGGAACTGTCCTGTAGGGTTTCCAAGTTGCTGCTGGTGGGTTCAAACTGCCAACCTTTTGGTTAGCAGCCGTAGCTCTTCACCACTGCACCACTAAGGCTCCATTTGGCACAAAGGAGGTATTTAATACAGTATCATTATTGTTATTAGGGAGAAAGTCTACTGTGATCAATTAGATAATCCATTAGGGTCTCATTTATATGCTATAGCAAAATGAGCATCAAGTTGAGAGTCTGCTTCCTCATCTTTAAAATAAAGAGGGTAGGATTTTAAGATTCTTATCAGTTCTCCACTTCTTTTGGGAAAAAAAATTATCACAGTTCCCAATCTGAGCAATGTTTTAGTCTCAAGAACATCCAATTAATAAGAAATTTTCTCTCCTATTTTAAAATATACTGATATGGCTACATGAATTTGACTTCGGATTTGTGGGAACCATGCATCAAGATTATTAAGAGTCCAAGGGTATTTCATCATTTTCAGAAGCAATACATTGATTTCTTCAACAAATATTCTTAGACGTAATTGTGCCAGGCTTTATTACTGGCTCTGAGAACACAAGCCTGGAAAAAAAGAAACAAAGGTGAGGTACTGGTGGTCATTTCCCCCTAGTGGCCATGCCTGTGGAGTCTCATTAGAAGGTGTTTCTCTTGCCTTTTCCTTAAATACTACTGTTTCCCAAGGCTCTGTCCTTAGACCTCTTTTCTCCTAGATTTAATACTCCTCAATATTTAACCACTATTGCGGCTTCAGCCACAGCCATTGATTTGATAATTCTCAGGTCTTATTAGTAGGGCAAAAGGAGCTGAAACCCCTTATGGGTTCAGGGGTAGGTTTGTGTCCCAATTTTTGCCTGTGAAGTCACTGGTGAAAGTGAGGCTTATCTTTCAACTAAAGTTCAAGGGCTGACTCCAAAGGGCATGGGTTTTGTTGTGTTCTGCATTGCCTTTCAATTCAAATTTTCTGGTCTATAAGATTTAAGAGAGTCTTCAAAGAAGAGTGTTGCATTGAATGTTTTTCTCTTTTCCTCCCATCAAATAGCTATAGAAACGTCCTTTTGATCCCACCTTCTGTAACTAATTAGTCTCACTCAAGTCCAGGCTCCAGCCTGTTCTTCCAGGGGCTGGAATGAAAGTCTACAAGTTGACTTACCCTCAAACATTTTCTTTCCCAGAGTCATGTACAGACTGTCTTGGGAAACCAGCTCTAATTTCAACTCTGTCCAATGCACACACAGACACTTTGTAGATATTTAAATATTTGTTGAATGAATGCAGGTATAAATAAATGAATGAAGAACAAATACATTCAACACCCAGCATTCTTTCTATAGATGAAAATGTGGTGAGAGAAGTCTTAGGTCAAGAACCAACATAGAGGAACTTCTTAGATGCTATAGATTCATTGACCTGAGTGAGTGCGTGCTCATGTCCCCAGAGGAGATAATCACAGTCATCATCATCCACCTAAGTGGAGCTGAAATCAGCTGCAGAGAAGGTTTCTGAGGGACCGACTCCTTAGAAATCCATTTTCAATGCCTTTTAAAAAAATCAAGAAACTTACTCTTGTTATTCTGTTCCAGTTATGATATATTAGGGTCCAATGAGTTCCTTTGTTCCGCTGAGATTACCTTCAGGCCGTCTTTCTTGGGGAAGTATTTCCCTTAAACATCTTCAAGTTCTCAGATATTACCCGGATAAACAAACTCTTGCCTACTTTTACCTGCTATAGTCTATTTGCTGAGATTTAATTGTTTCTTTCGGGTTATAAAGTTTTTATCAACACTGTTCTGTATTTATTCAATTAAAAGTATTTTACTAGTAAAATATTTAGTATCTTTATTTTCGTATGTTTATTTGGTCCACAAGGACTTGTAAATCCTAATGGGCCTCAGCATTTTGGTCTTGGAAACTGAAAAGTGAAGAAAAGCAGGGTGAATTGCTTTTTGAGTTTGCTTTGTTGCCCAGATATATCCCATCCGCCCATATACATGGAATTAGTGAGTTGAAAAATATCTTAATGTCTAATCTAACCCATCTTTTAAAATATGTATACGTATATGTACTGAAGCCTAGATATAACATAGTGAGACTCTTGCTAGAACCCAGATTTCCTCATATAATTTAGTGTTGTTTCTTCCTTTAGTTCATCCAAGATCAGTTCCAAATCTAAGAAAACAGTAATTGACTGTGCACTTTCACTGAAGAATAGGGCATGATCTGTTCCTACATTGAGTGATAGGTAAGAGAAAGTAAAAACTTTTTTTCCCCCTTATTATTACAAGACACGGTCTTTTCCCCCAGGGAAATCTGCTTCCTTCACTCATCATGCCATCCTTCAACCAGAGCATTTTCCACCCTGCAGTGTTCTGCCTTACTGGCATCCCTGGTCTCGAAATCACTCATACCTGGATTGCCATCCCATTCTGTTGTTTCTATGCCATTTCCCTCTCTGAGAATGGCATGATCCTATTTGTCATTGTCACTGAGTCGAGCCTCCATCAACCCATGTACTATTTCCACTCCACGCTATCCTTCACCGACCTAGGTTTGTGCCTATCCACGGTGGTCACTATGCTGCGTAGTTTTTGGTTCAATGCTAGAGAAATCAGCTTTAATGTCTGCATCGGCCAAATGTTCTTTATCCATGGCTTCATGTTCATGGAGTCTTCAGTGCCCCTGGCAATGGCCTTTGACTGCTCCATTGCCATCTGTAATCTGCTGAGATACGCCACAATCTTAACCAATTCACGGATTATCAAAGCAGGCGTTGCAATTGTTATCAGAGGAACAACAGCTCTGCTGCCTTTACCTCTGCTCCTTAAACGTCTGTCTTTCTGCTGAAGTCATGTGCTTCATCACTCCTACTGCTTCCACCCTGATGTGAGGAAGCTTTCATGCATAGACACCAAGATCAACAGTGCATTTGGCCTGGCCATTGTCATCTCTACTGCTGGCATAGACTTTATCTTGATCGCCATCTCCTATGTTCTGATCATCCGCTCCATGCTCAGTATTGCCTCCCCAGAGGAGCAGAAAAAGGCCTTCAGTACCTGTGTCTCACACATAAGTGCCGTTGCTATATTCTATATCCCTATGATCAGCTTGTCCCTGGTGCATAGATTTGGGAAGAGTGCTCCTCCTTATGTGCACACTCTCATTGCCAACGTCTACCTGCTCATCCCTCCTGTAATGAATCCCATAATCTACAGTGTGAAGATCAAGCAAATTCGCAAGACTGTGCTCCAAGTATTCCTTTCGAAGAGAATTTAAGAAAGTTTCAAAGTATTCTTTCTCTATAAAGTCTTCCCTGACTCATGCTCAATCATTCGCTAATTTGAGTAACCACTATACCTTAAAAAAGCTTTTTGATCCATGCTATCACTCTATTCCGCTTTTTACACAGTTCTAGACTGTGGAATCTTTTAGTGCAGGAACTATGACTTGTGCATCTCTAATCTTATTACAAATATTGCACTTGGCACAAAGTAGGACCATGATTAATACATGTATAAAACGTATTAGCACGTACAGATGAAGTCATATGTTGGGTCTAGACAGCCTCACTACCTGCAGAGTGTGTAGCTATAAAATGTAAATCTGATACAATATAACCAGTAGGAAAAGTCTGGATTTCAGGAATTCCTGTGGTTTATTGATAATTATTTATTATTCCACACAATGGTTGCATGAGTAAAGAACATGAGTCAGAAGAAATGTGAATGAAAAGAATACTCTACGATTTGTTAAAAGAATCATTCTTGTCTCTTTGGTAAATGTACAGTCCTAGTGATCCATCTTCTAAGGATGTGTCTAAAGGGGGAAAAATGGGCAAGAGTGCAAAAATGCATAATGATGTTCAACACAGCATTATATTTTGAAATGAAAATTTGGAAACAGCTTAAAATATTATTTTAGGGAATTGTTTAAATAAAATATGAAAGATTATTCAACCAGCTAAATATTGCCATGGCTCTAAATGATATATTGTTACGTGAAAAGTTAGATTAATAAACAGGGTAATTTTCACAGAATAGTGTATATATTTCATGCAAATACACACACATAAACACATGCACATGCACACACATATACATTAAAAATTTAGATAGACGTATTCCAAAATCTCTTCATAGTTGTATAATGGTTTGTTTTATATTTTCTTTATACTTCTTTGTATTTTATAAATGTTAACTAATGAGTTTTTTTTAACTTTTCAAATCATGAAATAATAAATTTCTATTTAAAGCTCTCCTCCAATACACTTTTTTTTTTTCTCTTTTATTCTTCATCCTCCATTGGGTCCTCAGTCCTATGGATCTTCACAGTCTTTCTGTGTACCCACTGGATATATTTCCAATATGGCTTCCACTTCCCTTTCATACCCATCATTGTTCTCAGTGTGGTCTAGCACCCATGAAGCGCGACCACTTAAGCATCTTGTTTATATGCAGATTCTTCAACTCCACTCCAGAACTACTTAATCAGAAACTCTTGAGACAGAGCCCAATAACTTGCATTTTAACAAGCTACCCATGTATTATCATGTATGCTAAAGTAGTACTCTTCTGGGGTCTCAGATAATATCCACTTCTGAAAATGCCATGAGTACCTTGTTCCTAGATGTCTGATCATTTGACTCTCTCTGACTGAAATATTTACTCCTCTTTGATTCTTCTTGTTGTTTTTTAAAATCCTTCCAGGTGACATTAATAAATAATCTTTTCTATGAAAACTTTCCTGATCTCCCCATTAGGTTCCGACTCATTTTTCTGTCTCAGAAAGACGTTACAGAATTGTGTTAGTCTTATATTAGAGGTAGTCAGGAGTCTCTCTCCCTACTGACTTGAAACTTTTTGGAAAGATGTACTTAAAGAATTATTATATCTTTCATAGACTGAAGCATAGTGACCTAATAATAATAGATATTTAATATATGCTTATTGAGTTGCATTTATTTGATCACAACTTTGCATATATTCCTCTTACATATTTTGAGCATCTTTAGTTTGACAAACATCGTGCTAGGCACTAGGGTTTAAACAGTGAACAACAAAGACACAGTCTCCATTCTTAGGGTGTTTACAATCTGACCAAACATATCCAAGTTGAAACACTATTTTAATCACTTCTTCCTTATAAAGCATTTACTGTGAATAAAACATTGTACCAGAAGCTAAGAGGAGTCATAGATGATGTTCTCTCTCTTTCCCAGGAAGGATCTGAGCTAGCAGGAAAATGATTACTCAGGAAGCACTTAGCTTGAGAAATATTTTCGTAGTTCTGAGAAGTTCTCTGCTTAACAAAGGAGACATAATGCACATTGAGATCTAAGCAATCAAAGCATAAGCATGAGTGACTCAAATTTTGTGGGTGCTCAGGACAAGCCTTGAAAAGGAGAATTTTGAAATAGAGCAAACATATTTGTGTATTTGTTTTAAATAAATAAATGTATTGGAGAATATTCTTGTGAAAGCAATAACTTTGACTTATTCTGCAATAATAAATGTGAGTCATGAAGCATTAGACAATTTACAAATAATATAGCATGGTATAGTTACATGTACATTAATAAAATACATTTTAAAGTATTCCTAAAAGATAAAGATATTCCTTTATCTTCCTTATAAATTGATAATATTTATAGAAAATTAAACTTTTTTTTTCTTTTAGTATTGCAACATTGAGTAGTATTTACACCATCACAGGTTATACTTTTCACTTTTCCTACCAGCTGTATTATACTCTGAATTCAATATCATCCAATACTGAAGTCTGTACATTTTCAGTTTTTGCTTCTATTTATAGACCTTCTGAAGCAGTGCTTGTTCAAACTATCTGAGCCATTGCTGAGTAATTGTCTGGTTAACCTGGAGTAGAATTTGTAAGGGTAGATGATGGGGTGATCTGCCCAGGATGTATGAACTCATTAAGGTTCTGCTTAAGAATGTTTCCTAAATTGATCTTTCTTTATAACCTATAAGCTGTGGCTTAAAAGGAAACTTTGATATTCTTATCTTTTGGATTGTTATTGACATCCAAGCAGGGAACCCAATACAGTATGGAGCCTCAAATCAGTTACCCAATTTCCTCATTTGCTTTGTGAGGAACTCTAGAATGAGAAGTGTGTTTTCCTAGGAGAGGAGAAAGATTAAATTTTACACTGATGGAATTTTGTTTTGTTACTTAGATTCAAATGCCTTGTTGTTGTTGTTGTTGTGTGCTGTCCAGTCGACTCTGGCTCATAGGACTCTATAGGACAGAGTGGAGCTGCTCCATAGGGTTTCCTAGTCTGTAAATCTTTACGGGAGTAGATCGCCAGGTCTTTTCTCCCGTGGTGTGGCTGGTAGGGTTGAACTGCCTACCTTTCAGTTAGAGGCCGAGCACTTAATTGTTGCACCACCAGGGATCCTTTCAAAAGCCTTAGCAGGCCTAAAAGATCTTTCCTGACATGGATCCTGACTCTCTTTTTAGCTTCTTATTTTGCCATTTACTTTCCCATGTGCAAAGAATTACAGGTGTGCTGAATACGTTATTAACAAACCAAACCTGTTGCTGTGGAGTTGATTCCAACTCATAGCGACCCTATGGGACAGAGTAGAACTGCCCCATAGGCTTTCCAAAGCTGTCAATCTTTATGGAAGCAGGCTGTCACATCTTTCTCCCCTGGAGCAGCTAGTGGGTTTGTACAGTCCACCTTTCGGTTAGCAGCTGAGCACTTAACCACTGTGCCATCAGAGCTCCTTGAATATGTTATTAGTCGCTTTTTATTCTGTCTTTGCTCTGTGATTCCTGGTCTCCCAGACAGATCTGGTGCTGGTCTTCCTACAGGTTAAATACGTGCTGTCCTATGTTCTCAACATAACTATACCCTGTCTTAATCACGAGTTTATGTTTGTTTCCTCCTAATTAGGTTGTGAGCCCTGGAGGGAAGGGGCTCTGTTCTATCTCTGTTTTCCCAGTGCAAAAACATGGAATGTGATAGATATTTAGTATTTGCTGAAAGAATAAAAGACTTTTTTTTTTTTTTTTGGCAGAAGCGGAGACAGTTCTAAAGAAAAAAAGAAAATTCACTCAAGTGATGTTGGAGGAAGATGCATTTTCATCTGGGTGTGGAAATAGTATGGGAATGAGAGGTCAGTTCATGGATACAGCAGGTCCTTTGCTTGGGAGTTTTCACTCAAAAATTTACTTTTAACAATATCTTATCAAGACATAAG